CAACAAGGCCGATTACGACCGAGAGGAACATGAACACTATTCACAAATGCTTTATGTTGATGGCTTTATAAAAACTATGGTGGTGCAATTCTTCGTCAGGCCCTTAACTTTGCAAAACAATGGACATTTGAGCGTGTACAAAAATCAATAATTGTCCTAGGTGGGAGCCTATTGGCTACCGCGAACTTTGTAGGTTTGCGCAGGTGGTCGGCGTGTTGGGTGAAAGATTACCTTTCGTGGCTGGGGGCGATATGCTATCGTCACCCGGCATATAGCCGCTGCTTCCGCTGTTGCCAGCACCCGTTGGCGTAGGCCTTTGGATAAGTTGGTTGGTGTCCGGTAGACAACCTGAAAAACTTCACTTGTATCGACTAGGTGATTCGTATCGAACAGGTGTGCGAAAATAGGGCTCGAGATTGATTTAGTTTCACCTTTACTTAACCAGGCCGGTACGTGTTCACGTTCTCTCTTTTCCAAGCGCCTCGTTGTTCGGCCAATATATCCTGCTCCACCGGAGCAAGTGAAGGAATAGGTGAAATGTATGTGGCCTTCAACGGGAGTTGGTCTTTACCTCCTAATCGTAGGAGAGGAGAGTTCGTGAATAACACACGTATGTTCGCCGCGAGGAAAGCGTTTGTGATCGCTGTGTTAAGGCTTCGTTTTATCCGGCTTGCTTGTTGCATCTCCTAAGAAAGGCAGTCTCATGAATACGTCTTTCTTTTCTGCGGTTAAGGTAGCAGGCTTCTTGGTGCCTGTTACCTTAACCGCAGAGAAGAAAGAAGTATTCATAAGACGATAGCATATCACTCCCAGCCACGAATGGTAGTCACTCAACCAACACGCCGACCACTTGCGCAGACTGACAAAGTTCGAGGTGGCCAATAGGTTCCCACCTAGGACAATTATTGATTTTTGCACACGTTCAAAATTTTCATCGTTTTGAGAAGATAAGGGCCTAAGGAAGAATTACCGAAAACATGTTTTACCTAATAATAAACTGACTTTTCAAGTTAACCATGCGAATATTTACCGAACTACGGTAGTCATTGTAGCCCAGGCGTCATTATCGCCAGGCCAATATGATTATCAGAAAAAAGGGTTCATTTCGTCTAGAACTCTGACCTGCTCTTTCGGAGAACGGTAGCCAGTGGCAAGTAAGTGGTCTCTGTTAACCCTCCCAGGTCGTGCCTGACAGAAAAAAATTAGCCTTTGAGCTTTCATAGGTGTGTGGCCGATTGCTCAAGGCACATTGCGGCTGTGGGTGCCTGGATCTGCGGGTGTCTCTAAATTTTTTACCTAGTTGTGACAATTTTTCTACCTGCCTGCCTGCCAGGTAAGCGTATCTGGGAGATAAGCGTAATTCGAAACAAAAAGCGGCAACAGTAGCTTATGTAACCCCACTCATTAATCCCTATATCCTGCATGTTTTCCTACGAAAATGGTGTTTATCGGGTTTTATGGGCGGGAAATTAGAACACGCAGTGGAAC